GGTGTTAGGAAAGAATCTACATACTGGTGTCCGGTATTGTAAGGTAGCACTATGTATCAATTGTTTTAAAATATATCACACGGAAGTTGAGTTTTGAATTTTTACATCTATATTTCAATTTTTTAAACTCAATATTTCTATTTTATTTGTGTGCTTTTGTTTATTGTTCTGTAATTGTTAACTTTTTATAGAAATAAAAAATATATTTTTTAATCTTTATAATTGTTTATAAAATTTATAATTTTTTAACTCGATGTTTCCATTTTTTTGTAGATATTCTTTTCTATTTGTTTGTAATTTTGTATTTTCCTTTGTGCTTTATATATAAATAAATGAAAAATATATATTTCATTTATTTTAATTAAGTATAAATAAAAAAAAAACAATAATATGAAATTACGTCCACTGGGCGTGACGTACTGATACGTCCTAGTGAAAGAGTATGCGCCCGTTGTACGTTGCGTAATTAAAAAGGGAACTCCCTGGTTAACAGGTTAAAGTCAATGGGCATATCTGTTCGAAACAATATGACAAGTCACCAAAAGGTTCAAACAATGCTTTGCTTTTACAGACAAAACCAAAGCATTCCAAACAACAAATAGCCTTAGATTTCTCCACGTAAGTAAACTGACAAAGATTCCAACTCCCTTAGAGAAAGAATCTTGTTTTTCTCCATGTGCCCTAGTTCTGTCTGCAGCTTACAGTGGGTGCTTAACAAATGTTGTTGACTGACAAACAGAAAATAATGTTTCCTCTGGCCCCCTATCAATCTGTTCTATACACGGTAGCCAGAGTGACATTTTTTTTGCAACATAAATATAATAATGGCATCCTCCTCCTCACCTTCCACACAAAACTCCCTCCGGTGCTTTTCTACCACTTTTACATTGAGATTAAAATCACTGACAAGGTCTAGAAAGCCCTGCATGATCTGGTCCTGCTCCCTAAGAGCTCCATACTCAAGGAACTTCTCTCAGTTGCTTGGAGGTATCGCACCATCTCCTGCACCAGGATTCTGTGTCTGATACTGCTTCTCTGCCCTCACCTAGTTAATGCCTTCTCATCTATTGGGTTATAGTTCAGAGAGCACTCTTCAGCAAAACCTGTTTCAATTAGTTCAGTTCACAGTAATTTAAGTCATCACAGTACTGTGTACCAGTCCTCCAAAATACTTACTATCATTTAAAATTCCCATCTACTTACTTATTTTTAAGTATTGGAATTCAAGGTCTGTGAAGAAAGGAACTGTTTCTGAGATTGACCATTTTATTGCCTGAGCCTAGTACTCGGGCACATACAAAATCCTCAATCTTGAGAAATGGATGAGTAAATAAATGGGTGATAAGGGTTGTCTGTCTGGTCCTATTAGTAAAGTCATAGAGCACAGGGGCTTTATTAAATGGCATCTATCACACTGCCATGTTTGTTAATATTAATATTTATGGCCATTAAATAGGAAATATAAACACGAGAGACAGAGTGAGTCTAGTATGAAATTTTAATATAAATGAGCCTGTAATACGTGAAACCTGGACCTGGAAATCATAAAAAGTTTAACTTAATTTGTAATTGATCAGCCTTTTATTCTCATTGTTAAGGTGGGTAGCCATGGAATTAACTAATTCTTTTAAGCTGCTAGGAAACTATCAGTCCTCTTAAGTGGGAACTTATTAAATAATAATGTCCCTGAGGCACTTAAATGAGTATGATTCACTAAAAAAGCTATGTACTCCACAGCAACCATCACTGAGAGGAAAAAAAAAAAATGACATTCTTAGATAGTTCCATTCTGGGACTGACTTTAAGGGTAAAAGAATGGAACTGATGCTCAACCATTTATTTATTTTTCTCTTGACTAATGCCTGAACCTGAAAAAATATCAACCCTAATAAACTAGAAATCTTATTCAGCAGACATGAGAATCAGTATTTGTGTCCAAGCTCTGCCACTAACCTGTTCATGATACATAACCCCCTTTTTTTTAAAAAAAAATTTTCTTTCCATTACTACATAAATAAATAAATAAGTAAATAAATAAGTAAATAAATAAAATTTTCTAGGCCAGAATAAATAGAGTGAACTCATTCAATAAAAACATTCAAAAAATTTACAGGTGCATAAATTGGTTCAAGCCATTCTAGGCCTGAAAGGGGGAAAGTGAATAGTCTAGTAACTTTGTGGTATTTTGAATATGAAGAACACTAAAATAATATTAGACATTCTTATTAAGTTAAAAAATTATAGTTGGCACCAGACATTATTTAAATTTTATTTAATGTTTGCTGTTATTTTTTCCCCTAAATTTTCTCTAATGAATGTGGATTTATTTGTTTTTGAATTAGTTTTTTTTTTTTTTTTTTTTTTTTAAGAATGTGGCAATCAGTGTGAATGCTGCCTAGAGGCAGGGCTTTGTTTACTAGTATACTTCATCTGAATAAGAATCATCTATGCCTAGCCATCAATAGATGATTGGTGTTGGGAGAGGCATCAATTCTCAATTAATTATTGAATAGCCACTTGACGTACATGAAACAGGGAAAAACCACCAAAACGGAGGAGCCAATCCTTTTGGGAAGAAAGGCTGCCTTTTTCACTCCATCTCCCATTCCTGAGATAATCAAAGAAATCCAGCCTTTTGTTTTCTCTCCAGGACTGGTGGTGATCTCTGCACTCGTGTTCAGGCTCACATTTTCAAAATGAATCAATGCTCCAGAATAATCCTGGTGGATTTCCTTTTCTGGGTTGAATTACCTTATGCGTCAGGTACTATGATGTTCAGCTATGTTGTCTGGTAATTCAAAATTCTCCCCCTTATGAAAAGAGCTATCCCCTTGCAAAATAAAATGCATTTCATAGACATCTAATTCTGCTTCTCATCAACATATTACTGTCGCCATGCTTTCTCCAACCTGACCTACTCCTGATTATACATGATCCCTGGATCCCATGTTTAAAATACATGGAAGAATTAAAATTGTCATTTCAAACACCTTCCCACAGAGAACAAGCTGGGTTATATTTGTTCTGTAATTTAAGGAAGTTATACCTTATGTGTTCTTTATTAAATGGCCTGCTTTGTATTTTAAAGTGCCATTGGGATACTTAACAGCAGTTTTTGCCATAAAACAATGTTCATTTTTATTCATTTGTATTTATCAATGTAGAGGTAAGTGACTTCAAATACATAATGGCAATTCATCGTATGTAGTTATCTGAGTCATGATTTACAATTAGGCTAGATTCGGTAGAGGGAAACATGGACTGTTTTATTTATGTAAAACATAACTACAAAGCCTGATGCTAAATCCATGTAAATTTACTGGCCATGCTGAAGTGCAGAATAGACTATGTATAGTCTTCTCTTAATGATTTAAGCCAAATTATAATGAAAACAAAAGCCCTCATGAAGACAGAGCAAGAAAATAACCTCTTACTTTTTTCATAAACTCATGAACTCTCCTAACTACCAGCTTTTCCCCCCCATCTCCCTTTACTGTTTAAACAAATACAAATTGTATCAAGCCTTCATTTGTCTTCAAGTCAGGTGAGAGAGAACTGCCAGATCTAATAAGATTTACAAAGGCTAGTTCCCCTCAGCAGTGTCAGCAAAAATAAAAACCCACAAGGCATACAGTAATATACAACCATACACAGAGCTTAGTCCCTAGAGCTTTCAAAATCAGGTTTAATAATTCACCTCTCTCTAAATTTCAGCCATAAATACCATTTGCCCATGCGTTGATTGCCTTGATTTGACCCTGACATCTCTCCGGGTCAGCCACAGATACATCCATGTATCATTGTTTTCGTATCACTCACTTTCTGTTCATGGGCTTTTTTCGTATTCACACAACAATCCTGTTTCTTGGTCACTGCCATGTATAATAGTAACATTGGAGAAACACACTAAGGACTGAATTTTCAAAGGGGAGAAAATAAAACGTAGGTCTGATTTTATTTTAAATGCCACACTGTTTCAATCCCTAAGAACCACAGAAATGACAACGTGGCCTTCACTGCTCAGATAAATGCCATCTGCTGATTATCCTCAGATAATCTCTGGCCATCCTTCCTGTGCAGCCCCTGTCTATTCGCTTCCCAGTCCAGCGGCATCTAAATGTCTCTACTATTCTGCTTCCCAAAGCGCCTGCTCACTGAGAAATGCTATTAGATACCTAACATTTCTAAGCATTAGCTGGCCTGTCTCCCACTCGAGAAACCTCAGCCATCACATCATTTGTACTTCACATGCCTCCCCCCTACCCCCCTTTCCCGTTTCTCACAACGGGGAGCAAGGACTTGACGCTTGACTTGGAAAAGGCTCAGCAGTGCCCATGGGTCCTGTCTCGCTGTCCCTTCCCAGGCGTAACTACGTGGAGATGCTCAGCCGCGCTGAACCTGTTCTGCGCTTCATTCTTCACCGAACATGTGCCCAGTCTTCACTACCTAATGGCCTCTGATGGGGGACATCTGTGCGTTCTGGGTTAAGGGTGGAAATCTGTGCGTTCTGGGTTAAGGGTGGAAATCTGTGCGTTCTGGATGAAGGGTGGAAATCTGTGCATTCTGGATGAAGGGTGGAAATCTGTGCATTCTGGGTGAAGGGTGGAAATCTGTGCATTCTGGATTAAGGGTGATATGGCAGAGCACAGCGGTGACTCAGGTTGGACCATGGCCCAGGGGAGGCGGGGAGCACCCTGGCAAAGACTCCCAGGAGTGGATGGATGGCATAGGGCATCCTCCTTGCCACGAGGTGGGAGGCAGGACTGGTGGGAAGCGCTCTCAGGGGGGGAAACTGAACCAGGAGGAGACGTGGCCGCTGGGTCCTACAGAAGAGGATGCCCAGGGCGCAGCTGTGGGAGGTGATGGGGCGCAGAGGCCAGAACCAGGTCTCCACCTGCAGACTCCCTGGCGCGCTGTCGGGAGAAGGCAGCCCTCATGCACCTGCCTGCCAGCTGGTCCGGGGCCGAGGCCCCGGGGGAGGGGCGGGCAGCGGGCCTTACCTTGGCTGCAGTCCTTGCCGTGGAAGCCGGTCCGCGAGCAGTCGCACACGGCCTGGTCGTCCACCACGGAGCACACGCCGCCGTTGAGGCACACGCCGCCCTCGCCCTCGTCGCCGCCGCCGCCGCCCCCGGCCTCGCAGGGGCCGCCGCCGCCGCCGCCGCTGCTGCTGGGCGGCTCGTCGTCCAGGCGCACGTCGCCGCTGTCCAGGGGCAGCGCCAGGCTGGCGTTGACGCGCACGTCGCGGATCCAGCCGCGGAAGGGCTCGCGCTCGCGCACGGCGGCGCGCGTGAGCTTGAGCGCGGCGGCGGGGGCGCGCAGCTCGGGGGGCAGCCCGCCCACGAACAGGCCGCTGAACACCGTCATGTCGCGCCGCTTGGACTTGACCTCCACCCACTTGGCCTCGGCGCCGCGGCCGCCCTGGTCGATGAGCAGCGTGGTGTTGCGGAACTGGCGGCGGATGAGCACGCGGTGCCAGGCGCCGTCGTTGACGGGCGTGTCGGCCAGCAGCGTGGCGGGCTCGGCGCAGAAGATGGAGAAGCTGAGCTGCAGGCGGCCGCCCCGCGTCAGGATGAGCTCCAGGAAGTCGCAGAAGCCCTCGTCGTCGAAGTAGAGCACCAGCCCGCCCCGGGCGCTGCGCGTCTTCAGCTGGAAGCTCATCTCGCTCTCGCAGCACGCGTTCCACTTGGGGAAGCGCGTCCACTGGCCCTCGGCGCCCGGGAACTCCAGGCCGCTGCCCAGCTCGGCCCAGCAGCCCAGCAGCAGCAGCGACAGGCACAGCGCGAAGCAGCCCCCTCCGCGCTGCAGCAGCAGCGCCGTCCCCATGCTCGGGGCTGGGGGGGTGCGGCGGGGGGGTGCCGCCGGGGCCGACAGGGTCACGATCGTCCTGGACCCCGTGGTGCAGAAAGACAAGGGCCCGGGGCCGGGGCCGCAGGAGGAGGTAGGGGAAGGGGAAGGGGAAGGGGGTGAGGGTGGTGGTGGTGGGCAGGAGCAGGAGGGATGCGCCCTCCTTTATCGAGCTCTTTTTTTCTTCTTCTTCTTCCAGCAGCCCCGCCCTCTCTCCTTGTAGTCCCTGCCCAACTGGAAGAGGGAGGCCCCGGGGGGACAGGGCAGCCGCAGGATGTCCAGGCCAGAGGGAGGATACACTTTGGAAGTGAGGTTCTGGAAAAAAGGAGTCCACCGAAGGTCAGGGGAGATCACGCATCCATTTGAGTCGGAGGAGCTAGTTCAAGGGCATCCGGTGGTGTCAACAGAGCTTCACTCACTCACTCCTCAAATATCATCATGGGCTAGGTACCATCAAAGGTTGGAATCAGGTAAGAAGGAAAGGCTTCTCAGGGAAGTCCAAGGAGCCAGCAAGGAACCAGAATCCCTGGATGCTTGTGAGCGCCCCCTGCAGGTGCAGTGAGTGTCCCAAACCAGGAGGGAGAAAGGGGTTCCTTGTCTCCTGAGAACACCGCTCATCCACACCAGGGTAGCTTCAGGGGCCTGCTTCTGCCGTCATTTCATGGACTTCCGGCATCACTGTAGCCAATGCAGGATTCCTTGTGTGTGGCCTCGCAGGCTGGACGTCACTTCTCTTTTTCCCTCCCCAATGGCAGGGTCCAAAGCCAGAGCTGTGAAGTCGCCAGAAGCTGTTAGATGTGGGAATCACAACAGCCCCTCTTCCTTTCTCTCCACCTCGGCAAGGCCACGCTAAGACGCCGGCATATCAATCGGTTGTGTGTTGGTGATGCATTTTGGTTTTATTTTGCCTTTTCGTAAGGACCCCGAAATCTGCGGAGAATGGAAATAAAGTTCTAAAGTCACTCACGGCATCATTATAAATCATTATTCTGCTCAGAAACCAGGGATATTGCTGCTAGCTCACCAGAGTTAGCCTTATTGGGAGGAGCTTATTGGTCTTCATCTATAATACAAGAAAGACATACTGTGTCCCAATAGTCAATATCACACACAATTACCCATTACACCCTTGGAGTTTATGTAACTGTTAACAGGTAACCCTCCCAGGTTGTCATAGAGACTTGCTTATGGTTATGTCTTCCTTTTGCTAAGAAAGTTTGATTTTTAAAAATACATGAAGGGAGGGAGAGGGAAAAACCCCTTTAAAGAAACCTGTTTATACTAGGTGTAGTGGTTATGTGGACAATAAAAATACAACCTATTGCTATCTCAGTTAGTGGCTGATTTTACAACAGGCAAAGCAGATGAAGCTGCTCCCTGGGAACTGCTACCTTGGATTTGTATAACACTCCTACCATTTTCTTTTTCTCAGAGAGAGAAGGAATAGTGATGGTTTCGTGAGAGTCTTTTAAAAATTTCAAGTATTTTCCTGTCATTTTTTTTATAATAAAGAATAATATAGTATAGGAGAAAACACGCCACTGGAGTTAGGTGTCTATTTTTGGCAGCATTTATGACTCAGTTGCCATATTACAAACTCCCCACCATATGTGTAGTTCGTATTTTGCCTAACTGCATAGTGAAGTTACCACCTCCTCAAGTACTTCTCTGACTGTCAGCTCAGAACGTGTGTGGTCAGAACAGCCAAGTGTGTTACCTTAGCTGATCTGACTCTAAGATGCTAGAATTTAAAATTGTATCATTGAATTACTCACAGTATCATTAAATCACCTGTCTTGGTTCTACTCTAATCTCACAGGTTCTTGAAATGGAACAGAAATCATAAATAGTGGTTTTAAAGTCATTTTTTTAACCAAAAAAATTACTCTCATATTTTGACAAAAATTCACGAATGTATAATCTGGTTATGTCGAGCAAACACATGCCCTCCCACCCACCCCCGCCAGACACCACACACACACACACACACACACACACACACACACACACACTTTCTGCCTGGACACAGAACCTCATTATCCAATTAACACTTTTTCCCCTTCTACAAGCTGAAACCAGCAGTAATTTATGGCACCGCATTGTGCTGCTGCTCCTCCATGGAGGGAGCTAAGAGCATTTCTCTTCAGTACAGAGCAATCCCTACAGGTGTCAGCTGAGAGCCACCAAGCTAGGGGATCCCACTTCAAGTTCCTCGCCAGATGAAATTGATGACTGGTTCTCTCTTTCAACACATACACAACACACACACACACACACACACACACACACACACTGCCCACTAGTAAAAGGAAATAAAAATCCCAGCAGCTTATTTATTATATGGCTGCTATATCCCACATCATCAGCAGTCACCAGCCATGGCTTGTCTACTCCTATGCCAAGCCCAACGAAAGGTGCTCTTAAAAACCATTCTAAGAAAGCATATTGTTCAGTATGCTCTCCTTTTTTTTTTTTAAAGTGGGCTCGGCAATCTGCCAAATCTTCCATTGTTTGTGAAATCATTCTAGAATTTCAAGATCAAAAATAGTGCTTTGTAACCACCCCCAAGCTCATGGGTTAGAAAATCCTTTTTCTGTGTGACTGGACTCGGTTGGGTCCGATTATTTTATTAATCGCTATTACATAGATCACAGAACCTTTCTCCACCCTCTCCTCTGCCCTCCTCCAAATGCAAACCTTGACAATTTTGTGAGGTTTTTGTTTGTTTTGCTTTTTTTTTTTTTTAAGGAATGGAAAAGAAGGGGGAAACACACATATATATATATTCTTAACCACAGGGGAGGTCAACTGACTCTCCCAGTTCTTAGAGGAAGCTCATTGTGTGTGCCAGAGTCTCTGTATTGATATGGAGAAAGAGGATTCTCTCTAGGTGCGGGAAAAACCTGGGAGTCCACGAATCAGAGGGTGATAGAAAGGGATCTGGAAAACAACCTTACTGCAGCCCAAGGAAGCGCTCTAATTCAAAAGCAGACTAACAGTCTCATTAATCTTTTCTTTCATTTCTAGAATCAAATTCATTCCCAAGCCACTGGACGGATCGATACGGTATGCTCCACGACTGCAATTGCATTTATTTTAATATCTTTGTGGTATCTCTCTCTTTCACACACACCCATGTATACACACTTTCCTATGCACCCTTCAACATAGACCATCATAAAGAACCTAGAAATTAGGGGGAAATTTTTAAAAGCGCCTATCATTCCCCCCCCCCCCCCCCGCCATCCCCCCACTCCCGGGCTTTTGCCAAATCCATCCATACCCGTGCACACCCAAAATTCTGCCTGGCTTTCCCGCCCAGCCTCTCAGCTCCATCTCTAATACCAGTGCAGTTTCTGGGAGCCTGGAGTGGACTACAGAAATTGAGGATAAGGCACAGCATGCGGCGGATAGGAAAGAGAAAGAAAGATGTAGATAATGGACTTATCCTACTGCTTTGGCTCCTAACTTGTCTATTTTCTCTCCTGGGCTAATAAATCACTGCATTTATAGCCTTTAAGTTCCCACCCCGGGGTTCCACTATCTCGTCTCCTTTGCCTTCTATTTAAAAGGCTGCTGCATGCAAAACCACCAGGATCCCCACTCCACCCTCCCACCGCCACCCACCCTTCCCTGTGCCTTGGTAGCAGATCCTGGCTCCGTTACAACAACGGGAGGGAAAGATATCCTTCTCCTCCGGCTGGCCTCGCCCCGTCCCCTCCCCCACCCCAAATGGAGCTCCTTTTACCTGCCAGGTTATTCCCCGTTAGCTCCAGCCTGAGCCCGAAGCATGCATCTGGTCAAAGCGAATTTCCTGAGGTCTGTGGGCAAGGCGACTGCCGCTGCTGCCTTTTCAGAGGCGTCAGGCTTGAGCGTCTGTCTCCAGGAGTGCGGGAGGGAAGAACGGGCAGCGGAGGGGAGCCGGAGGAGGTGGAGGGAGAGGTGGAGGAGGAGGAGGAGAGGAAAAGGACCGGGAAGGAGGGAGGAGGCGGCGGTGGAGCCCGGGAAGGCTGGGTTACGTGACGCGGGGTGCTGTCCTTCTGGAAGAGAAGGGCGGAGCTGAGCTCTCCCTCCGCAGTACCATGGAGAGCGGCGGCCGGCCTGGAGCTGGGATGCTGGGGGGTCGCGGCGGGCGCGGGGGGCGCAGCCCCTCCAGCTCCCGGTCAGGATGCTGCGTACCTGTGCTTCATCCCCTAGCAGGGGGAGGGGGAGGGGGGATGGAGGGGGCGATCCTGGGGGCGGGGACCTGCCGCAAGCGCTTCTAAGTTGTCACCACCCACTCTTAGAGAGAGAGAGAGAGAGAGAGAGAGAGAGAGAGAGAGAGAGAAGGAGCGAGAGAACCAAGTAGCCTACTGAGCATGCCCAAGCCCCTGCTAGACCCACGGAAAGCGATGGGAAGATTTCACTTCTCCAAGGTTTACTCGGGATTGGGCGAGGGTACCTGAAGGGGGTTCGGGGAAGGAGCCAGGGAGCCGGTATTTAGGATGAGCTCCGGTTTTACTTGTGCACGTTGCTCTTCTGCTTGAAACCCCTGAAAAGCTGCAGCAGCTCTTCGAGGATTGCAGGGACCGGCTAGACACAGTCGCTGGCATTTCCCCCAGATCCAACGTCCCTGCCCGCCCCTGACTCCGCCCTGGCCTGAGTGCTCACTTCACACCTTCAGGATCTGCCTGAGCTGTGCCCAAAAAGACGCCAGAGGGACCTACCGGGCGAACGCAGCTACTAACTTGAAGACCAACCAGACGGGTCCGTTTGACCAGGTGCTTCTCGCGGGAGCATCTCAGTCATCCTCCAGCGCTCAGTGCTCTGCCTTGGCCACCGGCATCCTGAGCTGATCCAAGTTCGGTGCCTGGTTAACTCTTCCCTCTGTCTCCTCCTTGCTTGTGCAACTGGTAAAACCCTGGAATGGGTGAAACTGGTTTGCAGGCTCCAACCATATCGCTGGGCATGCCCAGTGGACACTGCTGGGCTTTGGTGAC